TCCTTTCCCTGATTTGCACCGTGGTCACCCTGGGCCCCCTGCTGCTGTCCGGTCCACATCTTTAAAGGGCTCTCTGTGCTTTTCCTAAGAAGGGGACCACAACACACTCGACGGTATCCACCGGTCGTGCCCAAGGCAGGAGGAAGGGCGGCGCCCCCAAACTCCCAGGCCGCCTGCAGCACCCTCCCTGCGCCCCTCTCCGCCTCTGGGGAGCATCCTGCCACCGCCCCCGTCCCCTCCCCCGCCCCCACGCCAGCCCGCACCTTCTCACTCTTGGCCAGGCCTCTGGAGACGTCTGAGAGCCAGGGTTTTCCTGAAGAGTCAGGATTGGAAGGTTGGAAGGCGGTGAGGGCATCAGGTTTTTTCTTCCCTTTTCTTCTAGCAATTACGCCCCCGTGGCTAAATTAAACTCCCATCGGCTAAATTAGGCCCAAAGGGAGAGGCACCTGCTGCTAAGCTGTGCGTGTTGTCCCCCTAGGACTTCCATCCATTGCTGACCTCCTGACGACAGCAGACGACAGGCCGCACCCTGATCCCACCTGGCTTACAGGTGCTGTCACACAGGTACGCCTTCTTGTGGATCATCAGTCACCATTTGCCCCTGGCAACAACCCTGTCTTGGAGGAAGGTCCTTGCCGACACCCGCCCCTCCCCACCCTTAAGGCTTCCTTGCTCCTTCATTCAACCATTGTTTACATTTCGTTCAGGACTGCTGACTAACACTTTCAAGCACAGCGGACCCTTAAACAACGCAGGTTCAAACTGTGCGGGTCCACCCACAGGGAGGTTTTTCAATCAGTTATACAGGGAGAGTATCCCTGCCTCTCCTGCCTCCCTTCCCACCTCCTCCACATCTTCCTCACCGCCGCCCTGAGGCATCAAGACCAGCCCCTCCTCCTCAGCCACTCAACGTGAAGATAACTAGGATGAAGACTTTTATGATAATGCACTTCCACTTAGTAAATACTTTCTCTTATGATGTTAATGACATTTTATTTTCCCTAGCTTAGTTTATTGTAAGAATACAGTATAAATACATATACAAAGTATGTGTGAACTGATTTTTTAATGTTACCAGTAAGGCTTCCAGTTAACAGTAGGCTATTTATTAGTTAAGTTTGGAGGGAGCCTGAAGTTACACAAGGGTTTCTGACTGCGTGAGAGCTTGGCTCTCCAACCATCACATTGTTCAAGGTTCAACTGCACCTCTCCTACCCATCTCCCCCGCCATCTGATGTAGTAAGATAAATATAAAAACACTTAGAAGCCCTTGAAAACCAGGAAAAATGCCACCAACAGACCAGAACATTGGCGAATTTCTGGAAGATATAAAGCAGAAGAGATCAGATTCGTGGTGAAACGCATTAGAGCCAATGGCATGCAGGTGGGAGACCATCTTAAAAACCCTCAAGTCTGGAAATGGGGTAGGGTGGGGGCAGTGGAGAAGGAATGACTCATGGAGCTTGGATGGGGTAATCACACAAAGGGCTGCCCAGGTGGCTGAGGCAGTGTCCTGCCTGCCCCAGGGTCAAGTCTGAGTGCAGCATTCAGGCTGAAGACAAAGACACACCGGGAGCCTCCAGAGCCAACGCTGGCCCAAAGAGAGAAGCAGGGGCCTGCCCAGGTGACTGCCAGGCACCGTCAGCCACACTGACAGGGAGAGTGGCCCAGATCAGAGGCCCAGGAAGGCACTCTGCCTTTGCAACCTCCCAGCCTGTCCCCATGACCACAAGTGCCCAGTGGTGCCAGGGCTGTCAGACAGTGGCGGTTTAGTTGTGTGCAAGAACTACTCCGCACGGCAAGAATGATTGGTTGAGACGGACAGATCGCAAACACACTGCACTCAGGAACCCTTCACCCTCTTAGAAATGGCTGAGGGTCTCAGCGGGCTTTCATTCACATGAGTTGTATCTATTGATATTTACGGTAGTTCAAGTGGAAAAAATTTTCAATATTCATTTATTTTAAAATATTAATAATGGCATGTTAACATAAATAACACTTATACAGGCTGTGTGCGGTGGCTCACGCCTGTAATGCCAGCACTTCGGGATGCCGAGGTGGGCAGATCACTTGAGGTCAAGAGTTGGAGACCAGCCTGGCCAACATGGTGAAACCCATCTCTACCAAAAATACAAAAATTAGCTGGGTGTGGTGGCGCCCGCCTGTAATCCCAGCTACTCGGAAGGCTGAGGCAGGAGAATCGCTTGAACCTGGGAGGCAGAGGTTGCAGTGAGCTGAGATTGTGCCACTGCACTCCAGCCTGGGTGACAGAGTAAGACTGCATCTCAAAAAAACAAAACAAAACAAAAAGCAAATAGCTACATTTTTTCTAAAAATAGTTTATTTAGTAAGAAGAGTGACATCATTATACATATGTGTGTGTATACACACACACACACACATATATATATATATTTTTTTTTTAGACAGAGTTTCGCTCTGTCACCCAGGCTGGAGTGCAGTGGTGTGATCTCGGCTCACTGCAACCTCTGCATCCTGGGTTCAAGCGATTCTCCTGCCTCAGCCTCCTAAGTAGCTGGGATTACAGACATGTCCCACCATGTCTGGCTAATTTTGTATTTTTAGTAGAGATGGGGTTTCACCATGTTGGATAGGCTGGTCTTAAACTCCTGACCTCAAATGATCCGCCCACCTTGGCCTCCCAAAGTACTGGGTTAACAGGTGTGAGCCACCATGCCTGGCCCATTTTATATTTTTAAAAATCTCCCCAATGGGCCAGGCGTGGTGGCTCACGCCTGTAATCCCAGCACTTTGAGAGGCCGAGGTGGGTGAATCACCTGAAGTCAGGAGTTTGAGACCAGCCTGACCAACATGGGGAAACCCCATCTCTACCAAAAATACAAAAAATTAGCCAGGCATGGTGGTGCGCACCTGTAGTCCCAGCTACTCAGGAGGTTGAGACAGGAGAATCGCTTGAACCTGGGAGGCAGAGGCTGCAGTGAGCTGAGATGGTGTCACTGCATTGCAGCCTGGTCAACAAGAGTGAAACTCTGTCTCAAAAAAAACAAAACAAAAACAAACAAAAACTCCCCAATGTCTGGCTTAATAGATACCTGGATTTTCTTTTTTTGTTGTTTTAATTTTATGTATTTTAATTTTATGTGTTTAATTTAATTTATTTATTTATTGAGACAGAGTCTCAACCAGGCTGCAGTGCAGTGGCATAATCTCGGCTCACTGCATCCTCTGCCTCCCAGTTCAAGCAATCCTCCTGCTTCAGCCTCCCAAGTAGCTGGGATTACAGGAATGCACCACCACGCCTAGCTAATTTTTTTTCTTTTTTTTTTCTTTTTTTTTTTTTTTTAGTAGAGATGGGGTTTCACCATGTTGGCCAGTCTGGTCTCAAACTCCTGACCTCAAGTAATCTGTCTGCCTCACCTCCCAAAGTGTTGGGATTATAGGCATGAGCCACCATGCCCAGCCAACAGCTGGATTTTCATACCTCCTTCTTCTTTCAAGCTGTAGTGATAATACACATCATGTAGACTCTGGAAAACTCCACTGAACACCCATTTGTATATGTGCTGCTGAAGCGAGCACCTGAACACCCATCAGAAAAAAAAAGACTTTTTTATTCCTATTAAATAGTTTTGGCTTTGCAGACACCCAGAAAGAGTCTTAAGAACTCAGGCGTCTGTGGATCTCACTTTGAGAACCACTGTCTGGGCACTCATTTACAAATGGGATCGGATAATCAAGAACCCCCAGACATTTGAAGGAAACCAACAGCCTGCAGAAGAAGTAGACAGAACCCTGGACAAAACAGGATAATAATGCAGGAATCAGGAGAAGACATTAAAATCAGCATAATTCATATCCTCTGAAGGGTCAATAAAATATAAGAACCAGTCAGATGGCAAGTGGGCACAGAGCAAATACACAAAAACCAATACTTTCCATAGATACCAATAAATAATCAATTGGAGAGGACGTTTGCAAAACCAATAACAATCACAAATAATCTAGGCATAGGCATAACCAAAGTTCTGGAGAACCTACATGAAGACACATTTTTAATTGTATTAAAGGACATACATTGAGAGATGTGTTATGTTTCCTGTGGGAAGCTTCAATATTATAAAGGTGGCAATTATTTGAGTTGCTCAGTGAACTGTCCTCTGCATTATACTAGGTTGAGCAGGATTTCTGTCACGAGTATGCACCAAGAGTCATAACTAATATATCTTCTAGGTCAGCAGTCCCCAGCCTTTTTGGCACCAGGGACCGGTTTCATGGAAGACAATTTTTCCACAGGCCCGGACTGAGGTGGGGATGGTTTCAGGATGAACCTGTTCCACCTCAGATCATCAGGCATTAGAGTCTCATAAGGAGGGCGCAACCTAGATCCCTAACACGCACAGTTCACAGTAGGGTTTGTGCTCCTATGAGAATCTAATTCCACTGCTGATCTGACAGGAGGCGGCGCTCAAGCGGTCATGCTCCCGCACCTGCCACTCATCTGCTATGTAACCTGGTTCTTAACAAACCACAGACAGAGAACAGTCTGTGGCCCTGGGTTTGGGGACCACTGCTCTAGGTTGAAAGCCACTCCAAATAAAATAAAGAGACAAGTGACTGACTGCAAGAAGATGTTTGCAACACATATAATAGTCAAAAAGTTAATATACTTAATATATAACATTCCTGGAGTCATATGAAGACAAAGAACCTTAAAATACAGGCAGATAATAGAAGCTAAACAAGAAGTAGCTACACGCATGAAAACGAATCCACCTCTGAATTAGTTAGGGTAAGGCTCACCTGTTCTAAGAGACCCGATGATACAGAGGGTAGATGAAAAAACAGATCTGTTTCGGTATTAGGTTCTCCAGAGAACAGAACCAATAGGAGAAACATACACACACACACACATATATATGATAAATATGTGTATATTTATCTAATATATATTATAGATCTATATTAGACATTACATAGGATATATATATATACACAGACACACACATGCACACATATTTATTTTAAGGAATTTTGAAGAATTTATTTTAGGGAACTGTTTTAAGGGATTTATTTTAAGGACTTGGCTTCTGCGATTGTGGAGGCTTCGTAAATCCAAAATCTGCAGAGTAAGCTGGTAGGCTGGAGACTGATATTCCAAGTTGGAGTTCACGAGCAGTCTGCCAGCAGAATTCCTCCTTGCTCAGAGCAGGTCAGTCTCTTTTCTCTTAAGGTCTTCAACTGATGGGATGAGATCTGCCCACATTGTGGAGAATAATCTGCTTTACTCAAAATCTTCTGATTTAAAGGTTAATCTTATCTTAAAAAATACTTTCGCCAGGTGTGGTAGCTCAGGCCTGTAATTCCAGCACTTTGGGAGGCCGAGGTGGACAGATCACTTGAGGTGAGGAGACCAGCCTGGCCAACATGGTGAAAACCCATCTCTACTAAAAATACAAAAATTAGCAGAGCATGGTGGCACATGCCTGTAATCTCAGCTACTTGGGAGGCTGAGGCACGAGAATCGCTTGAACCTGGGAGGCAGAGGTTGCAGTGAGCTAAGATTGTGCCACTCCAGCCAGGGCAACAGAGTGAGACTCAGTCTCAATCAATCAATAAATCAATCAATAAATACCTTCATAAAAACATCTAGAATAGTGTCTAATCAAATATCTGAGCAATGTGGCCAGATGTTTAAGTTAACACACAAAATGAGCCCTCACTCTTACTTTCTCAGGTTATGGGTCTAGGCTGAGCAGCAGCTCTGCTCCTCCTGGTCCCCCAAAACCCCAGGACCCTTCTCTCCCGCTGCTGACCTCCCCTAGGGCACTGCCACAGCCAGATACTAGGCAGCTTGGAGGCCCAGGTAGAGAAGAGCCTCCTATCACAGGCCTGCTCTTACTCTGTTGCTGAGAACTTGGTCCTGTGGACAAGCCTAACTGTAAAGCAGGCAGGAAATGCAGCGGAGCTCAGCAGCTGCTGCCCAGCCACAGATCTGTTGGGCAGGAAGAAGAGGAAAATGGATTGTTTTTTCCTTTAGTAGAGATGAAGTCTTGCTATGTTGCCCAGGTTGGCTTGAATTTCTGAATTCAAGGGATCTTCCTACCTTAGCCTCCCAAAGTGCTGGGATTACAGGCATGAGCAAAGCAAGAAGCCTCTACCCAACCTCCCTATTAAGAAGGAAATGTAAACTAAATCCAGGAATTTTTTTTTTTTTTGCTTATCAGATTGGCAAAAATTAAAACTTTGCAATCAGTTGTATGTATCAGACAGGAGGGTTCTTAACCCATAGTAACAACTACAGAAAAAGATCTTATTTTGGAGGGCACTCAGAATCTTGAGGATGCAGGAAGAACAGGTTTGGACAATGAGCAGGTGTCATGAGGCCTCCCTAGGTCAATGGCAGAAGCAGGCTTGCACAGACACTTTGCCCATGGGACATGATGCCACAGGTGGACAGAGCCACGGCCAGGCAATGCCACTAGCACTCCCATTGGGCATTCGCTGCTTCTCCCAGGTCTGCAGATGCAGGGCCCTGGGATTCTCTGCCCAAATGTCACCATGCTCATTACCAGGGCCATATGGGCCTGTTGAGGCTTCCCTCTTCCTCACTCTATGACCTGAAGGGGATGGAGGGTCCTTTTCTGGTGGGGCGGGGATGGGGGTTGGGGAGATGGGAGTCCAGTATGGAGTTTGAACCTGCAGGCTGCTGTAAGGTCCCCACTGTTTTGCAGGGCTTTACTAATGTCTCTAGAAATCTCAAACACACGGCCGGGCGTGGTGGCTCACACTTGTAATCCTAGAACTTTGGGAGGCCTAGGTGGGTGGATCACAAGTTCAGGAGTTCGAGACCAGCCTGGCCAACACAGTGAAACCCCGTCTCTACTTAAAATACAAAAATTAGCTGGGCATAGTGGCAGGTGCCTGTAATCCCAGATATTCAGGAGGCTGAGGCAGGAGAACTGCTTGAACCCAGGAGGTGGAGGTTGCAGTGAGCTGAGATCATGCCACTGCACTCCAGCCTGGGCAACAGAGCTAGACTCCATCTCAGAGAAAAAAAAAAATTCAAACCCACATAGCCAGCAGTTCTTAGGAATATTCTAGATTCTTCTGGGAATCTTCCATTGGTTGCAGAAAAGAACACATTCCTAGTGGAAACAGTAATTCGTGGAATAATACGCATAGAAAAGTGGGAGGCCTCATTGTTTCCCTTATGAGCTCTGGAGTCAGGCTCAAATCCTGACTTCAGTTCTTAGTAGCTGTGTGATCCTGGGCAGGCTACTTAACCTCTCTGTGCCGCAGGCTCCTCATCTGAAAAATGCGAGTAATAGTAATAAACTTTACTGAGGTTCGCGATGATTAAATTAATATTTGCGAAGTGCTCAGACCAAGAGCTTGGCATTTGATGAATACTCATTACCCATTAGCTCTTTTCATGATATCCTGACCCCGTTTCTTCTATACAAAGCATGTCAACACGCATCGGTGCATGTTGGTGTGTGCCCAGAACTGTACACACCCACCCATTAACAATGGCTGCCTGGAAGTAAGGATATGAAGGAAGTGTGAGTATCCATGTCCCTTTGTGATAGATGTGTGAATTACTGTGACTCCCCTATATCAGTCACTGACACTTGTGGACAGGTGGGTAGGTAATAGGTAGTAGCTACGCACAGGGGTGAACAAGGACCAAGCAGGCAAAGCCCCTGCCCTGGCTCAGGGGACTCTTCCAGGTCTGCCTCAGGCAGTGTAAGAACGCCCCAAGGGGCCTGGGGTGCCGAGGAGCAGGGAAAGGGACGGAGGACCGGCGCTTCCCAGTGCCAGGCCACGGCATTAGCCACCCTGCTCCTCGAGGTTCTGGGGCCAGATGTCCCCCCAAGTACGCACGGTCATTCGGTGAACAAGTGCTCTCATCTGAAAGTGCACACGCCTCCGGCGGGCTGAACTTGGGGGAGGGTCCAGGCTCCATAGGGAACCGCCTCCCAGCAACGGGGCTCGCCCATCGGTGGCAGAGGTCAGGCAGGAAGGGCTGGGAAGGGCGGGGTCCGTGCGGCCAGAGCCCTAGACCCCTTAGGCCTGGGGGCGGATGTGCACTTCGCCCATTTCAACATTTCCTCCCCGGCTGGCCACGGCCCAGGAAAGGGGCAGGGGTGCGGTTTCCCTCCGCCTCCCTCTCGGCCTTCTCTCCCGCACCCCTCCTCCTCCTCCTCCCACCGCTCCTTCCCCTCCTCCTTTCCCGCACCCCTCCTTCCTTTCCCCCTTCCTCTGTCCCTCCCCCGCCCCGGGTCCTCTCCCTCCCGTTCCCCCGCCGTGCCCTCCTCCTCCTCCTCCTCGCGGTCCCCGCCCCGGAAACCTGGCTCGCCCCGGGAGGCTGTGGTGGGGCGCGCGGGGTGGTTCAGGGGCCCATCCTCTCCGCCGCCCGCGCGCCCCGCCCGACGGCTCGCACCTGCTTGGCGGCGGCCGCTGGATTCTCAGCCTCGGGTCGAGGAGGCGGGAGGGAAAGTGGGTCAGCGCGGGGCCGCGGCGGGGCCGCTGTTGTGCTTGGAAAGGGGCCCGGGGTGCCGGGGGCCTCTACCGGGCGCGGCGGCGGGAGCGTCCGCGCGTGACACGCCAGGCACAAAGGGGCCGGGCCGTCGCCTGCACTGGGGCTCGGGCTGCTGGGAGAAGCCGTCGGGTGCCGCACGCGTGGGCTGTGTCCCCCTTCCCGGCCACGGCGCGGGGCGGCCGGGGCCCGGGGCTCTCCCCTCCACGAGCAAGGCCCAACACCGCAAGCCGGAGCTAGCAGGCGCCCACCACGCCCGCTCTTCGTACGTCCCCCGGGCTGGGTCTGGGCGGCTCCCTCCTCCGGAGCTGTCCCCGCCGCCCCGCCCTGCCCCCTGGTGTCAGCCACGGGCCTCAGCAGCCTGGCGTCCTCCTGGGAGCGTTTTTCTGACACCTCTGAGGGACCCGGTCCCCTGACCCCCTGGCCCATGCGGTCTGCCCAGGTCTTTGCGGGTGTTGGCTCTGTTTCAGGGAAACCTCCGAGGCTGATACCTGGCAGCAGCCCTGCGAAGGACTGCTCAACCACTCACTTCCCGACCACCGTGCCCCCAGCAGCTCTGGGACGCCGGGCTCTGTGGGTGGGCTGGGGGCTCTGTGGGTGGGCTGGGTCGGGCTGCAGACATGGGTCACTGTCCTACAGCAAGGACTGGCTGCGAGAGCAAGGAGGGGACCAGGCCTTTGGGATGTCAGTCCCCGAGCTTCCCCTCTGCTGTCCCCTGCACAGGCGCAGAAGGGCATGGCCGGAGGGTCAGGGTGCCCCAGCTGGGTTCCTGCACTGCCGCAGGCCTTGTCCTGTTCCGGCCCGCCCCCACCCCACCCCACCCCCCCACCCCACCCCCACCGCCCCACCGCCCCACCGCCCCAGGCTAGAATCCCACCGTCCTGACATGCCGAGAACTCTGGCTACTGCTGGAACTGGAACTGGGCTTCCTGGAGAGCCTATCCCCTGGGTCACCTGATGAATGTTTCACCCTGTTCCAGAAGCTTTCCAAGTCTCTGACCAGAATGCCTCCCCATCCCTTGGCTCCTGTTGCACAATCTGCAGCCTACAGTGACCACGCCTGGCGCAGGCCTCTTCTCGGGCTCTGGGAGGCTGGCCTCTGTGAACGCTGGGCTGAGCCAGCTTCTGACCCAGGAGGGGCCGAGGGCTGCCACATTATCACCCCGCTCCAGGTTTGAGAAGGTATTTCCATGGGAAGCCTGTATCAAATACGTACCCTTCCTGTGTGTCCTCACGTGTGTGCAGCAGTAACTGCTACAAGGCTACAGTCGGCACTGCTGAGCCAGGGGTGGTCCCTGAGCTTGTCTGAACCCCGCTGAGTGGAGCTCGATTGACAGGCAAGTGTTTGGTGTTCCCCTGGCTTGTAGAAGGGCTGATGTTAGCTCCTGAGACCACCATGTGTCTACTGCAAAAGGACAGCTGCAAGCCTCCAACAGATAGGGGAAGGAGGGAATGGGGAGAAGGGGGAAATCAGTAAAATACGACGTTTTCCAGCACCTGGGAGAGAAGGGGCTCTTGCACCGAAAGCCAGACACTACTCTTCTGGGGGAGGTGGCCATCTTTCCTGGCTTCATCCCTCTCCCTGGCTTGGGAGGGAGGAGGAGATACCCACTGGGCCACTCCGGGCAGCCGCTCAGCCAGTGGGCACCCAGGTCAAGCAAGCCTGGGTGCTCCAGTGTGAAAGGAACCTTAAACTCATTGGCCTAGGACCCCAACCTTCTTTCCACCCTCATCCAGGAGCCCTTGTTTTGAAAGCTTCTGTGTATTAAATAAATGACAATTAAATCAGAAAAATCTGTGTGACTCTTTTTTTTTTTTGAGACTGAGTCTCGCTTTGTCACCCAGGCTGGAGTGCAGTGGCTCGATCTAGGCTCGCTGCAAGCTCTGCCTTCCAAGTTCATGCCATTCTCCTGCCTCAGCCTCCGGAGTAGCTGGGACTACAGGCGCCCGCCACCATGCCCGGCTAATTTTTTGTATTTTTAGTAGAGACGGGGTTTCACCATGTTAACCAGGATGGTCTCAATCTCCTGACCTCGTGGTTCACCCACCTCAGCCTCCCAAAGTGCTGGGATTACAGGCGTGAGCCACCACGCCCAGCCCAGAAAAATCTGTTTTGAGTGTGACCCTCAGAAACTCAGTAACCTCAGGGAATTGGGCAGGGGTCGTAGAGGTGCCTCCAAAAAAAAGGGAGAACTGCTGGGGGTCCCCCTCAGATACCTCCACGTGTTACACTTTCCTGCAGGACTGGATTTTTTTTTTTTTTTTTTTTTTTGAGACAGAGTTTCTCTCTTGTTGCCCAGGCTGCAGTGCAATGGCACAATCTCGGCTCACGGCAACCTCCACCTCCCAGGTTCAAGCGATTCTCCTGCCTCAGCCTTCCGAGTAGCTAGGATTACAGGCATGGCCACCACGCCCGGCTAATTTTGTATTTTTAGTAGAGACAGAGTTTCTCCATGTTGGTCAGGCTGGTCTCAAACTCCCAACCTCGGGTGATCTGCCCGCTTTGGCCTCCCAGAGTGCTGGGATTACAGGGTGAGCCACGGCGCCCAGCCTAGGACTGCATTTGAGCTAAATGCAAGGAGTGCCAGTTCCTGCCGTTGACGACACATGGGCCTCACCAAGCCCTGCCCGCTAGCTCTAAGCCTCTAGGATTTCAGACAAATCCTCAAACATAAACACAGAGCCCTATGGATCCTCTCAAGAAAAGCAAGGCAGGGGCCCTGCCAATTTGGTTATGAGAAAGATTTCATTAGCTTTGTTGTATTTGGCTTTTGTGTCACGGGCCCAGTTATCACCTTCTAGAATCTCCCTTCCTCCTTGTAAACTCCAGCTGAGTTTTAAGGCTCAGAAGTTCTCAGGGAAAGCAACATTGGATATTAAGACCTGAAAGTTGGTTTTGTTCTTTTTTTTCATCAACTAGCCCTTCTTTTATGTCTGTTCGTGGCCAGACGTAGTCTGCGGCTTCACGTAGCAACGTCTGATTAAATGAAGCACAGCCTATCCTGGGGCCATAGACAGATAATTACAGTGCTTAATTTTTTCATTTGATGAATAATGAAAGCTGTGCTCATTTTGTGTGTGTGGGAAAGAGACAACTTTAATATATTTGAACTTGAAAATGGCTTTTTAGTATTGCTGTCCTGACACACTATAACACAGCCCTGATTGGTTATCTACAAACCTTTCAAAACAGAACAGGCGTTTAGTGCCAAACAGGGCAGGCTGTGGAAGGGACGGATTCCCGGCCTGTCTTTTATGTAATGTAATGCACATATATGGCAGAACAAATATTTCTTCCCCAAACACTACATAAACCATATATCCCACAAATGATAATCATTTGTCATCAAAGTTCTCATCATATTCTCACGTCTTAGGTATGCTACCAGACTTTTCTCAAGCAACAGAAGAAATTATTCCTACTCGTATTGCTTGTCTTTTGGAACTTCCCTGCCTCTGAGCATGTGGGAGGGTAGAAAGGGTTTGACCCAGGAGCCAGCAGGGAAGCTCTAGTTCAGCAATGAACTCTGCTATGACTTGGCTGTGTTATATCGCAGAACTCACTTTCCTTCTTCGGGTTTCGATTGCTTTATCTGTTAGTGGACAGAAGAATAATTCCTCTTCCCTTCCTCTCTCCTCTTTCTTTCTTTCTTTCTTTCTTTCTTCCTTTCTTTCTTTCTTTCTTTCTTTCCTTCCTTCCTTCCTTCCTTCCTTCCTTTCTCTCTCTTTCTTTCTTTCTTTGTTTCCTTCCTTCCTTTCTCTCTCTCTTTCTTTTTTTTCTTTCTTTGTTTCCTTCCTTCCTTTCTCTCTTTCTTTTTCTTTCTTTCTTTCTTCTTTCCTTCTCCTTCCTTCCCTCCCTCTCCTCTTTCTTTCTTTTCTTTCTTTCTCTCTTTCCTTCTCCCTCCCTCCCTCCCTCCCTCCCTCCTTCCTTCCTTCCTTCTTCCCTCCCTCCCTCCCTCTCTTTCTCTCTCCTTCTCTCCTTCTCTGTCTCTCTCTCTCTTTCTTTCTCTTTTTCTTTCTTTCTACAAGATCTTGCTCTGTCACCCAAGCTGGAGCACAGCAGCATGATCACAGCTCACTGCAGCATCAATCTCCAGGGCTCAAGTGATCCTCCCACCTCAGTCACTCAAGTAGCTGGTACTACAGGTGTGAACCACCATGCCTGGCTAATTTTTTGTATTTTTAGTAGACACAGGGTTTTGCCATGTTGGCCAGGTTGGTGTCAAACTGGCCTCAAGTGATCTACCTGCCTTGGCCTCCCAAAGTGTTAGGATTACAGGCATGAGCCACCACACCCAGCCTGTTTTATCTTTTTGTTATGGAAATTTTCCCTCTCAAACAAAACCAAACACAGAGAGAGTTGTAAAATTAGCCCTCACATATTCCGCACCAGCTTCAACAATTATCAGCACATAATCAATCTTGTTTCATGTGTATTTCCACTCCCTCCACCCCTGGCTTTATTTTAAACAAATCCCCAGACATCTGTAGTTTCATTTGTACGTACCACAGAATTACATTTCTTATCTAGTGCCTTTGTCTAGTGGCTTGAAATAGCAATCATTTATTAGATTATAATTCTGTGGGTCAACAATTTGGGCTGGGATCAGCTGGATGGTTCTTCTGTTGGTTTTGTCTGGGCTCTGCCATTTGGATACAGTCAGCTGGTGACTTGATTGGAGCTGGACAGTCTTGGATGGCCTCACTCACATGTCTGGGCAGTTGGCTAAGGTGCCTCAGTTCTCCACATGGCCTCTCCAGCAGGCTAGCTTCGGCAGGCTTTCGTGGTGGCAGCTTTCCAAGAGAGGGCAAGCTCCAATGTGCAAGCACTTTTCAAGTCTCTGCCTGCATCATGTTTGCTAATGTCCTATTAGCCAAAACAAGTCACATAACCAAGCCCAGCATTAATGTGGGAAGGAGAATCACAAGGGCATAGAAATGAGGAGTAATCCACTGGGGGCCATTACGGTAGCAATGTATCAAGAGAATATGTTTCTAAAATATAAGGACTCCCTCCTATACACCCTTTTTAAAAACATAACCACAATTCTATTATCACAGCATACAAAATTAACCATAAATCTTTAAATATTGACAATATCCCCTTGGTGTTTACATTTCCCTAATTGACACATAAATGTTTCTGTTTTGTTATTTTTTATAGTTGTTTGAATCAGAGTTCAAATAAACCCACACACTGCATTTGGGTATGTCCCTTAAGTCTCTTTAAATCTACAGATTCTCTGTTCCCTCTCTCTGTTTTTTCATTTTATTTTATTGTTTTTGAGATGGAATCTCACTCTGTTGCCCAGGCTGGAGTGCAGTGATGAGATTTCAGCTCATTGCAACTTCCACCTCCTGGGTTCAAGCAATGCTGTTGCCTCAGCCTCCTGAGTAGCTGGAACTACAGGCATGCACCACCATGTCCAGCTAATTTATATATATTTTTTTTATTAGAGACAGAGTTTTGTCATATTGGCCAGGCTGGTCTTGAACTCCTGACCTCAGGTGATCTGCCTGCCTCAGCCTCCCAAAGTGCTGGGATTACAGGCATGAGCCAGCACGCCCGACTCTCTCTCTCTCTTTAATGTTATGGTAATTTATTGAAGAACCTAGGTTATTTTTCCTGAAGAATGTCCCACATTCTGGATTATGTTGTTTGCACCCCCCCCCCCCCCGTTTCTGTTTAGCATGTTCTTCCATCTCTGCATTTCCTGATATATTTAGGTAATTAGATGTGGAGGACCCATCAGATTTCAATGCAG